GATAGGTGGCTCGTTTTGGGAGAACTTAATATTTTCATGTATGAATTCGAAAAAGAGACAAGATTTCCCCAAACATAATGAAAATGAAGAATCGTTTAAGCTAAGTATTTCATCTACCACAACCCACTATTAGTTGATCGCAGATTCAAGGGGCAAACATTCACATGGTCGAACAAATTGAACATGAAGGAAGTAACCCGATATGAGAAAGGCTTGATGAAGCTCTTGTTTTGCTACTTGGCGACTGGAATTCAGATATGCAATTGTGTGGGTCATGAAGATATGATTGAGTCTGACCATTGCCTATTCTAATTGTTGTTCACTATAAAGGTATAAGGAAACATACTCCATTCACATTTGACAAAAGATGGAAAGATAGACAAGAATGTGAAGATGTCATCCAAAGAATATGGAGGGAAGCTGGCTCATCCAATCACAAACTCCAAAGATAAATTAATAAATTAAATGACAACTTCTAAAGGGACCAATACGTAACCAACAAGAGGTCGATGAAGAAAAAGAATAATTGATGGAACTTGCTAAATCTGGAATCGGAAATCCAAAGAAGCAGTTTGGACCCAACGAACTTGAGTTTGATGGTTACAAGAGGCTACTCCTGAAAGACAAGGAGTGTGATTGGAACCCCTCTTTCTTTCATGAGACTACTATTCAATGAAGGGATCATAATTGCATCCTTGTCCTGAAAGATAAGAAAATTGGTTGGGTGAAGAATTTGTAATGGCCACAATAAAATCCTTCATCATTGCCTCTTTGCCTTGAAGCGAGCCCAAGAAGTCTGGAATGTTTGTTTCCCCATTGTTCCTCCCCTCTCTCACCAACACTAACATTGATTGGAACTTCGCTCTCTATAGCTCCTTCTCATTATTAACAGGGAAGAAGAATATATGTAACAAAACATATGGTAAAGAAAGGATGAAATTAAAAGGCCGTTCGTAATGTGATCCCTTCACCGTCTTTAACCTGCTCGAAGGCTGCCCGTGAGCTCTTTCACTAGACCATGCCTCCCGACCTCTTGTTTCAACTCAGGCCTCCTGGATTCAAATTGCTTCACCGCCAAGTAATTCCACTTTTGAGATTTATGTGATGGGTCATTCATAAACAACTCGCACGAGGCGGCATAAGTCTTTGTTGTTATCAATTGCCATAACTTTTTTTTGTGACGGGAGAGTTAGAACTCTGCTCTATGCATCTTGGGTAGTAGCAAAAGCAAATGCACTCCTTTGAAGGTTTGAGACTTGCATCCTCGCGTTGAGGTCCCTCTGCGTCCTCAAATCTGATTGTCTTTCGGTTGTTGGAATTTTGATGGTGTGAATGGAAATGAAAGGAGAAAGATTCAAGAGAATCTCTTGAACGACCATGTTGGTAAGATGTGGGAAGGCATGACATCAAATTTGATCAATTTGATGTAATCTGTGGTTAATCGGTTAAATTGGTTTGTGTAACCAAACAGAGCAAACCAAACCGAATTGAATCAAATCAAACCAAACCGATATGACGGTTGGAGTGAACCAATCGGTCCAACTATCATGGGGCGAACAGATGCAATGGTTTATTATTTTAAAACGAAGCATTGCAATGGTTGGGGTGTAACCACCCATACGAAGAGTTGCCTAACCACTCTAGTTTTTACATATATTTTTCCCATACCACAACAATGTCAAAATCTAAAGTGACTTTTCTGCATTGTTTTTCGAAAGAAAAATCGAGTCAAGTGTGGTTCTTGTCGGTTTGCTGCGTTTGATGGTTTCCGGGGTTTGAGTTAACGCTACGTCGGAAAGGTACGTCCTTTCTATCCTGGGAGGAATCATTCCGTAACCTTGGGTACTAGAGGGGAATAAGATTCTTTTAGAAGAGAAATTGAATTATGTCGGCTAGGACGTTTGTATGTGTCTTTGCATGTTTACGTGATCTTAAATGTGACTTGTTTTGCAAGAAATAGTATACGTGAACAATTTACTCAACAATCTTAAAGAATCTTATTTTTATTATCACATGTACTGTTTGGCGTTTGCTTCAGAAAGTTGGTATAGGAACCCTTTAGTTCATCAATCTGTCGGTTGATTAACTGGTAAAAGTTAATCGATGAAGAAGTTTTAAATTGGAAGGAACATACTGTGTAGATTACGTAAACTTCTCAGTGGCAACATATATTTATATGTCTATATAGATCTCTGCGTTTGCCACTGGAAGAATGGTGGTTAATGTGTGTGTGTTTGGTAATCTTGCATGTAAAAGGTTTTAATTGATCTGTCGAAACCGAGCTGCTCATTAGTACGATATTGTTCGGTTTGGGCCAAGCCTGCACAGTTTTACTCTTGGGTGTCCTCCCCGAAAGGCCTCGTACTAATTAGGCTATGTGGACACTTATATACAAGAGTTCATTCCCTTGTATTTCCGATGTCTTACTTGGATTGTACCCTATAACAATCATCCCCTCAAGACAAGGACTACGAACTTTGTGTCCTCACCTCAGCAATTATCTTGATCCGCCAAACACCTTGTATCGATGGGCTTCTCGTTACAAGGATTTTTCCCAGATGTAGAACTCTCTTTTGATAAGCCATAGCCCAAACGTATCCAGAACAGGTGGACACTAATATACAAGGGTTCATTCCTTTGTATTTCCGATATGATACTTGGATTGTCCAATAAAAATCCTCCCATCAAGATAAGGACCACGAATTTCGTGTCATCTGCTCAGCGATTATCTTGATCTTCCAGACTCCTTATATCGAGGGGCTTCTCGATAAACGGTTTTTCCATACACGGAACTCTCTTTTATCCGCCAAACAAACGTGGATCTCTCCTAGATCCACCTGACAGACGCAGACCTCCCTTGATCCGTCAAACTAGATGTAGCCTAAACGTGGATCTCTCGTGGATCCACCAAACCAAACGCAGATCTCAAATGTTGAGGTCACCGAATGAGGTCCCAGCAAAATGACGTCCATCGCTCTGATACCACTTGTCGAAATCGGGGAGCTCAATTAGTACGATATTGTCCGCTTTGGGCCAAGCCCACACGAATTTACTTTTGGGAATCCTCCCCAAAAGGCCTCGTACTAATGTGCTTGGTGGACACTAATATACAATGATTCATTCCCTTGTACAACCGATATGGTACGGATTGTCCCATAACGAACCTAAAGCTAGGTCATAAATATCACTACATTGAAAGAGATACTTGTGAAGTTCAAGTGCTCTAAGGTTAATGAAGTGGAGAGACTTCAACATCATTGTCATGTGTTAAGATTATTGCAAAGCAATAAAATCAAGTCAAACACACATGATATATAGGGAATAGAAAGAGACGAGTCTTTGGTATATTGTACCCAAAGAAAACTCACCGGATGAACCAAGGCAATATATTCATGGACAATGTAGTCAAAAGCGAGTTTCTACATAGAAACGTTTTGGTGATCTATAAGCGTAAAATCGTATGTTTTTAAGTTTTAAAGCGAAGTTTTTAACTACATAAGTTATAAAAACTGAGATTTTATGTAGAAGCGTTTTATAGACTTACACGTAAAATCGTAAGTTTTTAAGTTTTAAAGCCACACGGTGAGTTTTATAGACTTTGGTATATTGTACCCAAAGAAAACTCAACGTAAGTTTTTAAGTTTTATAGACTTAAAAACGCCTAAAAACCTACACGGCCGTGTGACCTGGCCGTGTGACACCAAATTGCACGGGCAAGCCACACTGGCCGTATAAGGGAACCCATGTGGTCGTGTGGAAATTCCAGGGAACTCACACGGGCAGCCTGGAAATCCACACGGCCGTGTGGTTTTGGCCGTGTAGCATGCCTGAAGTCCACTTATCGAAACGCCGCGTTTTGCACACTCACACGGGCAGCTGGGAAAGCCACACTGCCGTGTGGCCTGGCCATGTGGTCAGGAATTTCTGGGTTTTAACCCAAATTCGAGCAAAAGGAGAGGGAATCGACTTTTTGGAGCAAAAACAGAGCCCTAGAGAGAGAAAGTGCGAAGAACACCTCGTAAGAGTGGTTTTGGAGCTGGGTTTCATCAATCAAGCTTGGAAATCATCCTTGGAGTGAAGATTGATATCCCAGAGCAGATTCTTCCCATTGTTATGAGTATGACTGCTTTGTATTCTGTTTCCCTCTCTCTCTCTCTCTATGGAGTAGAACTCTCTCTCACTTGGGTATGAAGAACCCTAGTTCCATGTGTTAGGGATCATTGTTGTAACGACTTTTGGATTGTTATATTGCTTGATTATAATCGATTGAAGTGTTTGATTGAGTCAATTGAAGTCTGATCATCTTTTATTGATTTCTGCTGCAACCTGAGATAGATAGAATCTGATTAGGTTAAGAGAGCTTCCTTGATTGATAGTAGTGAATTGGTTGTGCGAGAGTCAGTCAATTCACTGCTTTGTTCTGGAATTCATTCCAGTAGTGGATATATGTGTGAATCGCCTTAGCAGTCTATCCTGGTGAAGGCTAGTCGCCTGCCGGGTATTCTTTCTAAGAGGGCTTGGTCGGCTTAAGAGATTCCAAGCTAATTTAGGATCTTCCGCAGTTTAATCAACAGTAAAACAACCAAAAGGAATTACAACTTGGACCTAATTGAGGAGCTAGGGGGAATCATACCTAAGTGAGTTCCCAAACTGTAATTAGTAGTTTTACTTAGTTTAGTTAGTAGAGTAGTTTAGTTAATCAATCCTTAATCTGATTTGCTAGATAATGAACTGAAGCTGAGTAATAGTACATCTAGAGACCCGAGGATTCGATATTTATTACTTGCACCACTATATTGCAGTCCCTCTCATTGGTTACACTTGGCCATTGTTAGGTGTTGTGTCGTAGCGTGTCAAGTTTTTGGCGTCGTTGCCAGGGAACCTCTAGGTTATTGGAGAAACGTGAAAGTTTGTTACTCTAGCCTTTTCTTTACTGCATTTTCTCTCTTCCACCTGTGTGCCCTCACGGGTTGCTTTTGCTGATTGTGTGCAGGTAGTGCATGACCCGTAACCAGTCGGGAGATTTACTACCATTAGACCAGGAGCTTGAACGGACTTGTAGGAACTTCAAGCGGGCTCTAAAGGCGCGACTGGCTATGGAGGAGGCACTAGCACAGCTGCAAATCGCCGACGAAGAAGAGATGGGTGATCCACAGGACCATGATGTGGTCCTTCCTGAGGAGCAGACCATGGGATACTACTGGACCGCCAGAGCCGCGGACATGAGGTCACCCATTCAGCACCGTCATGTGCCAGCGAATAACTTTGAGGTGAGCACCTCTGTCATCACCATGCTGCGCGGTTCAGTGGTGTTCCGTGGCAAAGAGGGGGAGTGCCCCCGATCACATCTGAGGCGATTCCACAAGCTCATCGATGGAATCAAGATATATGGGGTCCCAGCCGATGCCATCCAGCTGAGTTACTTCCCATTTACTCTGGAGGGGAAGGCCAAGGAGTGGCTAGACACTCGACCTCCAGGCTCGATCACCACGTTCGCCAACCTAGCGGACAAGTTCCTCACTCGCTAACATCCCCCTTCCAAGACGGCGGACCTGCAGAAGCAAATTACCCACTTGGCTCAGGATGAAGATGAGACCATCCGGGATGCTTGGGAGAGATACACCAGTCTCTTCCTCAAGTGTCCCAACCATGGTTTTACTGACGCCTTCAAGGTGGGCACCTTCTACCATGCCCTCTTCCCTGAGGACAAGCAGCTGATTGACTCGGTCTGTGGCAGGAATATGCTCACCAAAACACCGCCATAGCTGAATAAACTCTTTGAAGAGATGGCAGAGCAGGGAAATGACTGGGGAACTGCAAGGAGATCGAGACAAGCACCAGGGAGGGTGTGCATGTTGTACCCATCCAGTCATCTGATTTGGTGCAGGTGGTATCGCTCTGGGATGATTGCAGGTACATGACAGTAGCAGGCGATGCACTGCCAGTGGTGTGAGAGCTCCCATCACACCGTGGAGGATTTTCAGGCGATGAGGGAGTCTACCACCCCCAAGGAGCAAGTGGACTTCATCGGCAATGCCAGGCGCTTCAACCCCTACAGCAACACTTACAACGAGGGGTGGCGCCAACATCCCAACTTTTCCTGGGTGGGGCAAATTCTAGACCACCAGTCCCCTAGGGACCACCTGGATTCCAAAGGCCTCCTTACCAGCCCAGACAAGGGCAATTTCAGCAGCCACAGCAGCCTCTCTACCCTCCCAGACATGGGCTAGTTCCACCTCAGTCACAGGTGCGGCCATTTCATCAGACAGGGGAAGCACCTGCAGCCCCATTACAGAGTGACGCGATGGAGGAATTTCGAGATCTGGTGGGTTCTCTGGCCACCTCCAGTGCAAACAAGTTCAATAACATCGAGCAGTTCATGGAGAAAGCTCCAGGTTAATTCTTGGAGCTAGAAGCTGGTCAGAGAAACATGCAGGCTGTGCTGCGGGATATCCAGACCTAGCTTGGGAGTGTTGCCCAGGATGTAGCTCAGAGGACTCCTGGTACTCTACCCGGTCAGACCATCCCTCATCCACAGGACCTAAATGAGCACTACAAGGCCATTACCACTAGGAGTGGCAAGGTGACTGCTCATTCACCTGTTCGGGCACAAGAGAGAGACCCTTACTTCAGCACTTCCAGCTAATGAGGAGGAAATGGAGAAGGAGGTTGAGGTGCCTGCTCCTAAACTGCAACCAGTGGTGAAGGAGTATGTACCCCAGCTTTCCTTTCCTACTCGGTTGCACAAGGACCGACTGAAGACTGAGTTTGCCAAGTTCATGGCAATGCTGAAGCAGGTAAACATAAGCATGCCCTTCGTGGAGGCATTATCGAAGATGCCCTAGTATGCCAAGTTCATGAAGGATCTCTTCACCAACAAGAGGAAGCTTGGGGAGCTTTCAACGGTGATGCTCAACGAGGAGTGTTCTGCCATCCTGCAGAACAAACTACTAGAAAAGCGAAAAGACCCAGGGAGTTTTACTATCCCTTGCATGATTGGTAGTTTGCATATAGGGAAGTCCTTGGTGGATTTAGGCGCTAGCATAAATTCCATGCCATATAAACTGTTTAAAAAGCTAGGCCTAGGTGAACCCAGTGATACTAGGATGAGCATTCAACTTGCTGATAGATCCATTGTGCATCCTAGGGGCATTGCAGAGGACTTAATAGTCGCAGTAGGGCCATTCTCATATCCTGTTGATTATTTGATTTTGGACATAAATGAGGATGTGGATGTGCCATCAATATTGGGTAGACCTTTTCTCGCCACCGCCAAGGCGCTCTGATAGACCGTTAATTGCACATGTTTTTACCCCTATTCTTGAGTCTTTTGAGATGTTGTTACTCGTGTTTTAGGCCGATTTCATGCTAGGTTGTTCTTGTTTGTGATATTTCAGGTCCTAGTACGTGAATGAAGGTTTGGGAATGAGTTCGGGGTCGATTGGACGAAGATTGAACATTTGGCGAGAAGCTGAGGAAGTCACACGGGCATGCCTAAAACACACACGGCCGTGTAAGGGAACCATGTGGCCGTGTGGAAATTTCAGGGAACTCACACGGGCATCCTGGAAATCCACACGGCCGTATGGTTGCGGAGTAGGCCTTAACACAGCTGCAAATCACCGAGGAGGAAGAGATGGGTGACCCACAAGACCATAATGTGGTCCTTCTCGAGGAGCAAACCACGGGGTACTACTTGACCGCCAGAGCCGCGGACATGAGGTCGCCCATTCAGCACCCTCAAGTCCCAGCCAACAACTTTGAGGTGAACACCTCGGTCATCACTATGTTGCGCGGCTCGATAGTATTCAGTGGCAAAGAGGGGGAGTGCCCCCGATCACATCTGAGGCGATTCCACGAGCTCATCAATGGAATCAAGATAAATGGGGTCCCAGCCGATGCCATCCAGCTGAGGTACTTCCCATTCACTTTGGAGGGGCAGGCCAAGGAGTGTTTGGACACTAGGCCCCCAGGATCGATCACCACGTTCGCCAACCTGGCGGACAAGTTCCTCACTCGCTACCATCCTCCATAAAAAAAACGGCGAACTTGCAGAAGCAGATCACCCATTTTACTCAGGATGAAGATGAGACCATCCGAGACGCATGGGAGAGATACACCAGTCTCTTCTTGAGGTGTCCCAATCATGGTTTCAATGATGCCTTCAAGGTGGGCACCTTCTACCACGCCCTCTTCCCAGAAGACAGACAGCTTATTGACTCGGTTCGTGGCGGGAACATGCTGACCAAGACGCTGCCGCAGTTGAATCAGCTCTTTGAGGAGATGGCAGAGAAAGGGTATGATTGGGGCACTGCTAGGAGGTCGAGGAGAGCACAAAGCCGAGGTGTACATGTTGTGGGCACCCACTCTTCTGATTTGGTGCAGGTTGTGTCTAAACTGGTCTCAGCCATCGATCGGAATGGGATGGTTCCGGGGGCAGGGCAGCAGCCGGCAATGCGTTGCCAGTGGTGCGAGAGATCCCATCATACTGTAGAGGATTTCCAGGCCATGCGTGATTCCAGTACACCCCAGGAGCAGATGAACTTCATCAACAATGTCCGGCGCAACGACACATACAGTAACACCTACAATGAGGGATGGTGCTAGCATCCAAACTTCTCCAGGAGTGGCAACAGCAATTCGAAGCCACCTGGCTTCCAGGCTCCTGCAGCTACTTTTCCAAACCAGAGTCAGCCATACCAGCCTCGCCCGGGGCCAGATGCAGCAACAACAGCCACTCTATCAGCCCAGACAGGGACAGGCTTTTCAACAGCCCCCACAGCAACAGTACCAGCTGCCTGGTGCATCTCCTAAGAGTGGTTTTGGAGCTGGGTTTCATCAATCAAGCTTGGAAATCATCCTTGGAGTGAAGATTGACATCCCAGAGCAGATTCTTCCCATTGTTATGAGTATGACTGCTTTGTATACTATTTCCCTCCCTCTCTCTCTCTCTATGGAGTAGAACTCTCTCTCACTTGGGTATGAAGAACCCTAGTTCCATGTGTTAGGGATCATTGTTGTAACGACTTGTGGATTATGATATTGCTTGATTATAATCGAATGAAGTGTTTTGATTGAGTCAATTGAAGCCTGATCATCTTTTATTTGATTTCTACTGCAACCTGAGATAGATAGAATCTGATTAGGTTGTTAGAGCTTCTTCAATCGGTAGTGAATCGATTATACAAGAGTTAGTCGATTCAGTGCTTTGTACTGGAATCTAATTCCAATAGTGGAGTTTTGTGTTCATTGCCTCAGCGTTCTATCCCGGTGAAGACTAGTCGTCTGCCGGGTAGTTTGACTGAGAGGGCTTGGTCAGCTTAAGAGATTCCAAGCTACTTTCCAATCTTCCGCAGTATAATCAGCAATAAAGTAACCAAAAGTAATTACAACTGTGACCTAACTAAGGAGCTAGGGGGACTCATTCCCGAGTGACTCTTCTTTTGCTTCAAAAAACCGAACAATTTCCTGCTTTTTTACTGCTTTTAGTTAAAACCACAATCAATCGACTTAGTTGGCTAGATAATAGATATTCACGGAGTAGGCAGTAGATCTAGACCCCGGGTTGATAATTAGAACTTGCCACTTTACTGCACTTCCGGACTACGATTACGCTTGGTCGCAGTTTGGTGTTGTGTTGTCACCCACCTATAAATTAATTAAAACATCAAAGGGAATGGACTTGTGGCCTAGGACAAATCATCATGGTGGTAACTCTACCTAAGTTGGATTGGCAGACTCAACCTCTAGGTTCAAGGAGCAAACAAAGTTGTGAATGATGGGCCGACATTGTCGAATTATTCAATGTCTATTCTCATGATGAGACAATGTCCAATACAAGAGTAAACCTAAATATGAAACGTTTTTAATGGTTTCTAAGTTTGACACGTGGTGTGATCAAATAGTTTATTTACGGAATACACATTTAGAAATAACCTATGCGAGTGTGAAGTGGAGCCGCTTCAAGGAGAATAAAATAAGGCCAGTTCTCTAAGCACTCATGAGACCAGACGGTGTTCATGGCTAAAACGAACAAAACAATGAGAACCAGTGAACGAATAAGAGTTAGTTGTCTGGCATATGCTGTCTACTTGTCTTAGTATACAAGAAAATTCGACGGTTCAAAGATATCACATCTACCGATTGGTGAGTATACTCGATATATGTTCATTAAGGAAGGTTCAAAGGAAAACCTACCTATCCTGATGCAACTAATTCTTAGTCGAGAATCACTTTGCATAGTTTTTAAAGTACAACATTCTCCATTCGTGTGGGAGATTGTTGGGATTTTGATGGTGTGAATGGAAATGAAAGGGGAAAGATCCAAGAAAATCTCTTAAACTACCATGTTGGTTAGATGTGGGAAGGCACAACATCAAATTTGATCGATTTTATGTAATCTGTGGTTAATCGGTTAAATTGGTTTGTGTAACCAAATGGACCAAACCAAACTGATTTGAATCAAATCAAACCAAACCGATATGGCGGTTGGAGTACTGAACCAACTGGTCCAACTATCATGGGCCGAGCCGATGAAATGGTACATTAGTTTAAAATGAAGCAGTGCAATGGTTAGGGTGTAACCACCCCTACGAAGAGTTGCCTCACTTTGTAAGAACCCTTCATTCTCTATAAATAGCAACTAACTCCTCTGATTTTTACATATATTTTTTTCCCATACCAAAATATTGCCAAAATCTAAAGTGATGTTTCTGCATTGTTTTTCAAAAGAAAAATATAGTCAAGTGTGGTTCGTCCCGGTTCGCTGCGTTTGATGGTTTCCGAGGTTTGAGATACCGCTATGTTAGAAAATGTATGTCCTTTCTATCTTGGGAGGAATCATTCCATAACCTTGAGTACTAGAGGAGAATAAGATTCTTTAAAGAGAGACATTGAATTAAGTCGGTTAGTACGTTTGTATGAGTCTTTTTATGTTTTTGTTATCTTACATATGACTTATTTTTCAAGAAAAAGTATACGTGAATAATTTACTCAACATTTCGATTGTTAAGCATCTTTCACGACCTCGATCGTGATGAGTGGCGCTAAGCATGGTAAAGTGGATTGGTGTTATAGTGGATATTTGTTGACACCTAAAATTAATTTGGCCTGAATTAAATGCCGCATTAATTAGTCTCGGCATTTAATTCGATACCGCAGGTATAAAAACGATGTCGTTTGGAGTTAAGCGGCGTCGTGGAGAGTTAAAACGGTACCGCAAGGAAGCTCGACGGTACCGCGGCATGGGAAATGACACCGCTTAATAAAAAACAGAAGGGGCCGCGCGTGTAGTTGGGTTGGAGGAGGTAGTTTTATAATTAATAATTACCTTTGTTCCTTGTAGGAAAGGGAAAATCGGTACCGCGTGGAGACAAGCGGTATCGCGGAGGATTGAAACGGTACCGCGGATTAGCAAACGACAGTGTTTAAATTAAAAACAATGTCGCGAAGGGAGAGGCAAACGGAGCCATTTTGGGGCGCTAATGATGTCGTTGGTTTGACTAGTTATTGGCCAGATTAATTAACTAATATGGTTAATTATTTTTTTTAGGACGGTGTCGTTTAGTTGGAAACGATGCCGCAAGAAAAAGAAACGACACCGCGGATTATAAAGCAGTGCCGCGAGTATGCGAAACGATGCCGCAACATTTAAAACGACAGTGTTAAAAATTAAAACAGTGTCGTGAAGTTCAAAAGTTCAACAACATCGCGGGACAAAGGAAACAATGTTGTTTAACTAGGAACGACGCCGAGGGGTGAAAGTTTGACGGGCGAGTTAATTTTATGGTTATTTTAGACGGTGTCGTTTATTGAAAAGCGATGCCGCAGAAAAGTAAAACGACATTGCGGTAGTGGTAAAAGATCGGCCAAAGGCGGCCCGCCAAGCCCAACGATAGCGCAGGACTGGAAAACGACGTTGTATAATAGGCTAACGGTGTTGTTGGTCAAGGCGGGTCGAGGCAATTGAGTGGTGACTATGAAACGGCATCGATTAGTGAAAGGTGATGCCACGGTAATGGTGAAATGACATCGTTACATGGACAAGGTTGTAGGATTTGGCTCAACGTCGTTTCGCCAATTTTATGCAAACAGGAGCGGTTTCGAGGGCACGTGACTATCACGCAACAAGGAGGAAGTTACCTACACGGTTGACAGGAGTGAAGACGTGGGAGACAAATGCGCGAAGGCAGTTACTACGACGGGGAGAAGCGCGAAGTATAAAGATCGGGAAGAGAGAGAAGCAATAGAAGGCAAAATCAAATCACAACTGCACCATCACAGAATTTATCCTTTTTCTCTCTAGTTCGTAGAACTGCTCTGTCAAAGACCTCCTTTGCAGAGTCGTAGTCGTAGTCTGTAGTCGTAGTTGCGGAGCTCTCTAGAGGAACCTCCATAGGAGTAGAGGTAACGTAACTTAGAACACTCCTGGTTCGATTTCTGGTTATTCGCCGAACACCCTCGTTCGAACGTAGTTTGGAGAGGTGGTGAACCGAATAACGGTTGTTTGAGTAGAAGTCAAAGGTGTATCAATCAAATCAACATCGCCGACGCCAGCGGTGGATATTTGACGGTCGTCCTGATTTCTATTTTAATCGATCAAATCAACGGCGCCGACATTCGGCGGCGGATATTTGACGGTTTTCCTGACTGTGTGTTTGTGCTTACTTGAAAACAGTGCGCATTGAACACGCGAGTTTCACCAACGAAACAAATTGGCACACCTGGTGGGACCCGTGTGTTCGAATGGCTCCGCGACGAAAGAATCAGGAAGGGGATGTTCCGCCCGGATTCGTGGAGGAACATGTGGCCAACATTGAAGGAAGCCAAGGAGTCGGTGCTGAAGACATCGGCGGGTCTGGGAATCCGCCGTCCGCAGCTGGGCCGACCGAGGATTTGTCAATCCGCCATTTCATGGAGGAGAACCGTCGCATGTTTGCTAGCCTCAACAATGAGTTCGCAGGCTTCAAAGGCGAGGTAAATCAAAGTTTTGACGCTTTAACTGCACGACATGATTCTCTTGAGTCTCGTGTTGAT